TTTTACAGAGAGAAAGGGAGAGAGATAGAGAGTCAGAAACATCGATGAGAGAGAAACATCGATCAGCTGCCTCCTGCACATCTCTTACTGGGGATGTGCCCGCAACCAAGGTACATGCCCTTGACCGGAATCGAACCTGGGACCTTTCAGTCCACAGGCCGATGCTCTATCCAGTGAGCCAAACCGGTTTCGGCTATCTTCTATAATTGAAACTTTGTTGGGAGCTCAGAAGCTCAGAGCCGGCCGGGAAGCTTGGCTTCCTCTATCACTGGAGCAACCAAGCCTCCTGCTCGCTCCAGCTGCTGGCCGCTGTGAGGAATGGTCAAGAGTTTGTAAAACACTAGTCTTAGGCACTTCATATGCATTATCTCATTTATGTTGACAATTCTATAGGTAGTTATTATTCCTATTTTAATGATGGAGCAACTGAGTCCCAGCTGAAGTGACTGCCCAAGGTCACGTGACAGGCAAATGGCAGTGCTGGCACCTGACCCCTGCCCTGCTGCTAGGGAGCGGGGAGCAGTTTAGAAGTGGGCTCTAGGAAAGGCGGCCCTAAGGGAGAGGCTCATCTATGCCAGGAAGGCAGCCTGGGCCGTGGTCCATAGGTTCCTGCAGCCCAGCACCTGGGCGAGGCAGGGAGGCGATGGCAGGCAGTGGGCTGGCACTCACTTGCACTCGGCCTCTGCGTCAGCTTTGGTGGTTGTATAGAGGCCCCGCAGCTTTGTCCGGTAATAGGGAGAGACTGCAGAGTAAGCACAGGGAGACAGGAGTCGGGGAGGGGCAGCTGGCAGTCGTGTGGCACTGCTTCCAGTATATCGGAATCAGGCCTTGGGAGGCATGAGCTCTGCTGGCTCAGAGGGCTCCCCAAGGCACCTGCACCCCATGCACAGCGTGCTCACATTTCCATACGGTACAAATGCCATGACTGCACCCAAGGGAGGACTTCCTTCCTTTGCCATAGCATGATTCACACAGCAAGTATTTCTCAGCACATGGAGAGCGGAAAGCAGTCTCAAGTTGCTCAGAGCCGGAAAGCCCAAGGCCAGGAGCCTGGTCAGCTGGGGCCCTCGGTGCACCCTGGGAGGGAAGCTCCCTAGAAACACCAGCTAACCGGGGTGCTTGTGCCCATTAAAGTGTTTTCCTAGATGCAGCCTCATTTCACTGACTTTCTAGTCCCTAGATGTGGGGGATTTTAAGGTTACTTAGGGCTAGGCAGTCTGGTATCTGTCTCCTAGGTCACCTTAGGCCCCCAGTATAAGGGAAAACTGTCCCTCTGGCTTAAGGAGCAGCTCATCTTGGATGACTGCAGATACATGCAAAAGCTCCTTTTGAAAACGATAGCAATCTTGACCCACATCCACTCCTCATCCCCTTTCTCTCCAGAGCCCAGCTACTCACTCTTGTTCTCTGTCTGCATCCTCTCGTGGGTCTTCTGGATGTTCACTAAGTTGTGCTCACTCCTCGAACGCTCTTCCTGCAAAGAGGAGGTCAGCTGGACAGGAGCGAGGCCCCCATCCCGCTGGGGCACCCTGCACCCAGGCCACAGGCCCATCCATATGGCCCTCATTTACTAGATCTGAATTCAGGACCAGTTTAAAGGCCCCCTCCCCCACTAATGCGAAAGCATGACAAAAGGCATTCAAGTGAAATCATAAACTAGATTTATGGCTCTCCTTCATCAGAAAAGACAAACTGACCTACAGAGTCAATACAATCCCCAACAAAATTCCAGCTGACTTCTTTGTAGAGTTTGACAAGCTTATTCTAAAATTCATATGGAAATTCAAGTAACCCAGAATGGCCAAAACAATCTTGAAAGAGGAAAATAAAAACATTGGAGGACTCACATTTCCTGATTTCCAATTTTATGACAAAGCTACAGCTGTCAAATGCTGTGATGCTGGCATATAGAACAATGGACTGGAATTGAGAGTCCAGAAATTAACACATACATCTGTGATCAGTTCACCTGGGAGAGGGGATGGGGAAGGATGCTGGTACAAGTCTTCCCCACATCAGTGGGCTGGGACCACAGCTGCAACTGAGGGTGCCAGATGCATGGATGATTCTTAGTCAGAAGCCCAAGTACTCGGCAACATGGAGTCAATGGTGAATGCAGCTATACTGCCCAGTGGTCTAAACAGCCCACTCGTTCTGTACTATATAACCCCACCCTACTAAATGGGAATGACCAAGGAGGGGTGGGGAGGAGACAGGACACGACACCTGCTAGACTAGCATTGCTGCCTGCGATCTGGACGGGCACAGTGGCTGAACCTAACATCCTTCCAAGGGTGGAAAAGTTTGGGTAAAAAGCAATGACAAATGGAGAGAAGGAGAAATAGTAGCTGAGGATAAAAGAGTGGGCTACGCAGTGTTGTAAATTCAATCTTATATTAATGCCTCACGATAGACTCAGTTAGAGAATACTATTGGCTCAGTTACGCCAGATGCCAAAAGGGTGAAGCCATCTATTTGCCAGGAGCACCCCTGCTTTTAGAACCTGATGAAGTCCAACGGGAGCCTGCAATCCTGAGGCCTCCCCCTGAGAGACATTCTGGTTATATAATCTGACGATAAACTGGACTGATTGCTGAAGACCGAATAGTTTAGCTTTAAAATTTTATTAATGAACTACTTTTAGAGCAGTTTTAGGTTTACAGAAAAATTGAGCAGATAGTAAAGAGTTCCCATATACTTGCTTGCCCCTGCACAGTTTCACCCTATGAACCCCTTGCATTAGTGGGGTACACTTGTTAACTTGTTACAGTTAATTAACCAAAACTGATCATTATTAACTAAAGCCCATAGATTACATTAAGATTCACTTCCTGTGTTGTACATTCCATTGGTTTTGACAAATGCATAGGTCATGAACTCACCAGTAGGGTAACATACAGAACAGCTTCACCTCCCTAAAAATCCCGTGCTCCCCCTACTCACCCCTCCTTCCTCCAAGCCCCATGTCTTTTTACTCCCTCATTTTGCCTCTTCCGGAATGGCAGCTGGGTGGAATCATACAGCCTGTGACCTTTCAGACTGGGTTCTTTCACTAGGACTATGTGTGCCAGGATCTTTTGACTTAGTTTTCAGGTTACAGCCACTACAGAGGATGCCATTTGGGAAGGAATTTCTAGGAACTGCTCCATCTTGATGCAGTGCCGAGAAAGGAACAAGGGACCCAATGGGCAGTGCAACCTGCTGTGCACAGATACACATCACCCTTGTTTTGTGAATGAAAAGCTATGAAAAAGAATAGGGGACAATGGGTTTCGCTAGGATTAAAGCACTAGGCACCACATGCTGGGTCCAAATTCCCCTGGGGAACAGCCCCACCCCGAGCCAGGAAGCTTCTGAAAGGCTGTATGATAAACTCAGGCTAAGTTACAGCCAGGTGTGACGACCTCACATCTAACCCAACACTTTTGGGCACAAACATGTATCCTAACTGCACCCAGGCCATCAGCCCAGTGGCCACAAAATGCACAGCGGAGTAAGCAACACTGGCTCACGCTAGAAAAGGGGTGTGCGCTGTGGGACAAGCTAAATGCACTTTCAGTGAGAAGCAACATTCAGGGGAAGAGATGTGTGAATCTGAAAAAAGACTGAAGTGAGTTCTCTTTCCAGAGGAAGGGAGGGACAAGAGTGAGCCTGGAAGGATGACAAAGCTTCAGTGAATGGTTTCGGCCAGCTCCACACACAATGCTGGATGATTCCAGGACCCATCTGTTGCAGGTAAGGGGCTCGCACCCTGACCCACCAGGCCTCCTGACTATTTTAATCCAGATGGAGGCTACTGTAGTCACGGGGCACAGGCTCTCCACACTGCCTGCTGAGCCCCAAGGGGCACCACCATGGGATGCTCTGACCTCCATACCTCCTCCGGAAGCCCTCTAGGGGCACGTGTAAGTTATATCAATGTACCATGACTATCCCGACCCAAGAATTGATGAAAATAAGGCATATCCCAAAGTACAGCTAGCAGAGCCGGGACTTGTACTCTGAGTACCACCTGTCCTCCCCTTATGAGGGGGGTGGGCCGTGGGGTATGATAGCACACATAGGAAACCAGGCTCAGTACAAGCCTCTGAGCTGAGATGGGGTGACTGGCCTTATCCCCAGAAAGAACAGAATCAGGGCCACTGTGATAAAGCCTGCCATAGCAATATCTGGTAAACAGGCAGGGCCAATTCCGTTGGGAAGACATAACGAAGAGCCTGTGATTTTACTGACTTGTTCCATAACGAGACAGAGTTTTACCATGACCATACTTCATTGTGGTGTAACACAGGGCATTGCTGGTAACACGTAAATAAGTGTTATGATAACACTGATACTGATGACCAACTGAATTGGGAGACTGAGCCAAAGCCTCAGTGTATTACTCATGGAAAATGAGGGGCCTGAGGAAGAACTAAATTTCGCTAACCATCAGCTGATTTTTGTGCTAAATATTTCTACACGAATTTATCATAATATACAAGTAGTGGTAGGTGAAGGGGAAAATGCATAATCAAATTAGTTCAACAATAAGAAAATGGATGCATCCTAGCCGGTTTGGCTCAGTGGATAGAGCGTGGGCCTGTGGACTGAAGGGTTCTATTTCGGTCAAGGACACGTAACTTGGTTGCAGGCTTGATCCACAGCCCAGATTGGGGAGGGGAGGGGGAAGGAGTAGGAGGCAATGAATCAATGTGTGGCTGTCTCACATCGATGTTTCTCTCTCTGTGTCTCTATCCCTCCCTTCCACTCTCTCTAAAAAAAATCAATGGAAAAAAATATCCTCTGGTGAGGATTAACCAAAACAAAAACAAACAAAAAACTGTGTTGTTCAGGGTTCTCAACTGCAAGTGGGAAAGGCTCAAAGGCTGTCTGGGGCTTTGGAAACTGACTGGCAGTGGAGGACCAGGACCCAGAGCAGTGGTCACACTGCAGGAATGGCCAGATTAGCACTACCTGCTGCCCCTCCTGAAGAACTGCTGGCTTTTCCTCAAGTCCTGTGTGACTACAGTTTCAGAGCCCCAGAATGAAGTACCCAGGTGTCTGAGCCTAGTTATGTCCTTGCCTCCAGCTGCAGCAGGACCAGGAAAAAGGTTCTGGATCTTCTAGTTGCTATAGTGCAAAGCAGTCACTGCCTCCCATTGGGGAAGGGAGGCTGCAATGTGCTGTTGGGAAGAGGATTTGGTTGCTAGACAGCAAAAGAAAAAAAAAAGACATAAGCTATATCAACTATCTGAATTGAAGCTCAGTTTCTTTATAAATATTAACCATCTTTCCCATACTTAGCCATATTAACTATCTTTCTCATATCAGGGATGGTGGATTTCTTCATTCTCTTCTTTATAAAAGCAACTATTGTCTTAAGCATTATGCACCTCAGTGGAATAAAGGATATCTCTAAGTTTGCTATGCATTATATAATAGAAGAAATAGATGAAGATACATCAATGGAAGACTTGCAGAAAATGATAGCTGTGGCTCTTATATACAGATTACTAGTTTGTTTTTATGAGATAATTTGCATTTGGGGAGCAGGCGGAGGTACCCCAGGGAAGTTCCTGCTGGGGCTTCGAGCTGTGACATGTGACACGTCAGTGCTTATTGCACCAAGTCGGGTTTTAGTGATTCCTTCCTCAAATGTTAGCATTACAACGTCCACTATACGAGCACTGATCAAGAATTTTTCTATTGCTTCTTTTTTCCCTGCTTTCATCACACTGCTGTTTTTTCAGCATAATCGAACAGCCTATGACATTGTAGCAGGAACCGTTGTGCTAAAAAGAAATGGGGTCAGATGATGCCCCCAAAAGCCCTGAATTCCATACTTTCTGGAATGATGACAAGACTAAATTATGTATCAAGGCCATCAGTATCCCTGGGTTACGTTAATTGATGATTTAGAAATTAAAGCAGTCACTCCAGTGTGATACAGGTGACTATTCTGAAAGTAAAAAAAAAAAAAGAAAATGGATGCAATGGCTCTAAGTACAGATTAGTTATTTCTCTAAGTTTCTCTCTACCCCCGCAGGCTCCTCCATGCTGCTATTATTGCTGTATCTCTCATATAAATGCTATACTAAAATCAGATGCTCAAACATGATTGTTTTGCTGTAGGAGAGCCTAGGCCAGTGGTCGGCAAACTCATTAGTCAACAGAGCCAAATATCAACAGTACAACGATTGAAATTTCTTTTGAGAGCCAAATTTTTTAAACTTAAACTATGTAGGTAGGTACATTGTTATTAACTTAATTAGGGTACTCCTAAGGCTTAGGAAGAGCCACACTCAAGGGGCCAAAGAGCCGCATGTGGCTCGCGAGCCGCAGTTTGCCGACCACTGGCCTAGGCCAAGGGCCAGGGGGTGGTGTATGCAGCAAATGATTAACTCAGCTAGCCTGGGTTTTCAAACCCTGCACATTCCAAAAAAGGTTTGGCCTTTGACCAACTTCTGAGAGAGACCCTCTAAACCAGGGGTCCTCAAACTTTTTAAACAGGGGGCCAGTTCACTGTCCCTCAGACCATTGGAGGGCCGGACTATAGTTTAAAAAAAAACTATGAACAAATTCCTATGCACACTGCACATATCTTATTTTGAAGAAAAAAAACAAAACGGGAACAAATACAATATTTGTATTTGCATATGGCCCGCGGGCCGTAGTTTGAGGACCCCTGAGTCCTAAGTAATAGAAAGGCTGAATTGCTTGCATTGTAAAGGAAGAAAACCTCAAGACAAGATCTTAATGATCGTTGGCAATGAGTCATCATCCTGCGTTCCATGTCTTGCTTACTAGCAAAACTGTATTCTGGTATTTTTAAAGCAATATTAATTAGAAGGAAATATATTATCCATTAATTTGAGCTAATTTGATAAAAATGTCAGTGTGCTGTCCTGGTTTTCATTATAGCTAGCATTTATTGAAAACAGTTTACATATATTAATTCACTTAATTTTCACAACAACCCTCTGAGGTAGGACTGTTTTAGAAATCCCCATTGTACAGGTGAGGAAATTGAGGCACAGAGCGATAAAGCAACTTACCCAAAGTCACACAGCCAGCAAAAGGCTGAGAGTTCGAACAGTGTACTGTACAGCTCCTAACACTATACTATGCTGATTGATTCATGTGGTAATCACTTATTTTCACTTTTAAAAAAACACAAAGTGGGGTAGGGGGTTGAAGGAGGAAACAGACTATATCTATTGCATCCACAGAATAATAGGATAAAGTATCATCACTATGGTATTGGTGAAAAAACATACCAGGGTAGGTATTTCCCATCTCCCATGATGCTAGGAGAGAAACTAGTTAATCTTTGTTCCTTTATCATGTGTAAACAACCCAGAGGTCATGTTTTCTGGGTTCTGTGTATCCTCCTTATCTTCTTCCAAAGGGAGATAAGGTTGAAATTTATTTAAAACTTAAACTACTCTAAGGATCAATTACCAGGCATAATTTTTCCCCTCAAGATTATAAATTCTACTCTGGGGTGAGTGGGGGGGGGGGAGAGGGTGCAGGAGGCAACTGATCAATGATTCTTTCTCATCATTGATGTTTCTCTACCCTCTGAAATCAATAAAAATATTAAGTAAAAAAAAAACAACCCAAAAACCACATGGTCTTCTCAAGGGGGTCTGGCCACACCAAGCCCAGGGCTAAAAGGTCATTGGACCGTCTCCAGTGGGCCAGAAAACATCAGCATCCCAGGTGCTGGGGTACCATGTCCCTGTGGGAATCTGCAGGGGAAGTGTGGAATCCTCTATTATGCTTCTGACATGGGGTGATGTTGGTGAGAGGGAAAGGTTTGTTAAATTGACCAGCACCCTGAAACTCAGAGCACTTTCTCATCTGTGCATTTTTGTCGTTGTTAATCTTCACCCAAGGATTTTTTGTCATTGATTTTTAGAGTGGAAGGGCTGGGGGGGACATAGATGTAAGAGAAACACATCAATTAGTTGCCTCCTGAACCCAGACCGGGAGGGGGGCGTGGGGTGGGATCAAACCTGCAACCCAGGTACATGCCCTTGATTGGGAATTGAACCCAGGACCCACTGGTTTGCAGGCCCATGCTCTAACAACTGAACCACACCAGCCAGGGCTCATCTGTGCATCTTGAAGGCTGGCAGAGGGCAGGAACACCCAGCAATTGTCCACAAATAGGTGGTTGGTTAGTAGGAGTCTTCGAAGCATTACAGAAAAGGCCTGTGAGGCCTGTCCTGAAGGGGATTTTAAGGATTGAACTTGCACTTTATAAGTGGGGACACAGAGGCCTTTGGGCGGAGAGGGACTTGCCCAAGTTAAAACAATGAGGAGACAACGAAGAGTGTCAGGGCAGGGAGAAGCCAGGCTCTAGACAGCCTCAGTGCCCCTCCCACACACAACACAGCAACACAGAAGCTGGCCCTGATTCATAATTTAATGGCTGTGCAGGTGCTGGTCTCTTATTTCTGCCGCTCACGGGCCCACTGCTCTGGGGTCAGGGTTTTCTGCTCAAAGGCATGGATATGCGGGAGCTCTTCTGCTAGACACGCGTTCACCAGCCTGCGGGAGAGACGTTGTTAGGAAACCGCAGGAGCCTAAGTGGGTCCCCGAAGCTAGGTTGACCCAGAAGGCTGGAGGTGTCGCCAAGTTGTGGCGCCCAGGACCTGGGACAGGAGAGGTAGAGGGTCTAAGCCTCAATACTCCCGGCGGGGGCGGAGAAGGCGAAATCCTTGGGGCTGTAGCCCACAGGGCTGGGCCGCATTGCCGGGGCGAGGGAGTTGGGTTGCGGGGTCCCGGGGGCTGTGGTCCCGGGGCTGTGGGGCCGGGACAGCGCTGAGCGAGGGGTTCCCCGGGCCTCACCGGTGTCTCTGAAGCAGCGGCTTCCCCTCGAACTTGGCCGACACCACCAGGACTCGGAAGCTGGACGCGCAACGGTTGGGAGTCGTGTCCTCCACCTCCTAAGGGGCAGAATCATGGGGATGGTGCCAAGCCGCCCACCCAGAAGCCTGTTGCCCTCGCCGGGCAGGTCCAGGCCGCGCAGCTCACCACGTGCTCTGCCTGCAGGTCCCGCTGCAGCTTCTCCCGCAGGTGCTCGGCGCTGAGTTCCATGGCGGCCAGCGGGGGCGGCCCAGTGCGGGCAGAACCCCAGATCCCACGCGGGTCACGCTGCTTCCACCCTCACTGCTGCCACTTCTGCGGAGGCCTCTACTTCCGCCCTTACTGAGGCGTTCCTAAAAGGAAGGTTTCTTAACCCCGGATCTGTGGGTTGGGTTTAGGTGGTTTGTGGTTAACCTGAAATTATGCAAACGTTTGTTCTATGTTTATTTTTGTAGGGATAGGGTCCAGTGCTTTTATCAGATTCTCAAATGTGTCTGAGACACTACCCAAGTTAAGAGCAGTTCTAAAACATTATTGGCAAGTAGTCATTTTCAAATAGGTTAACTTATGTACTGAATATGAATATATTTAAGGTTGTTTAATATTTATTACCTTAGACATTGTGTTGAGCCCTGTGGTCGTTGCAGTAAGGTTTTTGTCCTAATGTCAGTTATTAATCTGAAAACCTGTAATTCTATTTATAGTTTATAAGACACTTGATGCATTTGCTTAAGCTGCCAAGTTTTGCTGGCTAACTGGAATTTGTCTATAGCTTTGTTTCTTAAATTTGCTAAGCTACTGACTTCATGAAGCAAGTACGCTTCAGTTCTTCTCTTTTGTGGTGGTGCTTCCTATGAAGAATGAAGGAAGCTGGTGTGGGATTGCCTATACCCACATCTAATAAAACTACTTCCCCTAGCTGGGCATTCATAATGGTTTTCTAAAAACTAAAGTCTTTCAAGAATCATTCCTGCTATATTCTGTTGCTACCTGTTATAAATATATAGGTAGAAGTTTTTGTTTATTGTCCTTAACCCACTTTTTAAAAGACCATTTATTTGCTACTTGATATTATGTATTCATTCCCAAACAAAACAGATACTTCAATTGAATCATTTCCAACTGCCTTTGCCATTTCTTGGGACCAGGTTAAACTTATTCAAGGATTTTGGCTGATCGATCATAATGACTATGAGGTGAGTCTGTTAGTTCACTTAGAATTAAAGCTTTTGTAAACTATTAAAATAATGATTAAAATTTATATTAAAGATATGATTGAATCTATTTCTAGAGGTAATGTAAGGAGTCAGTTCAAATAATGCCTTCACTACCTTAGGCAGTAAGAATACAAAGATAAAACTTCAGGTGTCTCACTGCTTAAAGAAGGAAACAAATAGGTAACAATGACTAATAGTGCAGATATGGTGATTGTTATGTTAGAAATCTGTTTAGTGTTTTGTGTTTTTCTATATCTTGAGAGCACTGGTACTAATTGCTCTTTTTAAAAAATTGATTTGAGAGAGAGAGGAAGAAAGAGAGAACACGCGAGAGGGAAACATCAAGTTATTTTCACTGGTTGCATTCATTGGTTGATTCTTATTTGTGCCCACAGAAGGCAGGATTTAGCATTGATATGTGAGGTTGGTGATGGAAAGATTTTGTATAATTTATAATTGTATAATGATGTCTCAAAAGCATGAGGTTTTTGATAAGGCTTTTATTGAAAATAAAGTATACCGTAGGTTGACATTCACACTGGTTTTATCTGGATTTTTGTGGCTTTAGTATTGCCTGTCCATTTAAAGGTGTGCTACTTCATATGAATGCAAAGCATGTATTTGTGTTTACCAGTTTTCATGTCATTTTTGCAGAATGGTTTGGATCTTCTGTTTCATCCAGCTACTGCAAAACCTTTCTCATGGCAGCATTCAAAGATTATCCAAGCCTTTATGAGCCAGGGCGAGCACAGACAAGCCCTCAGATATATTCAGACAATGAAGCCAACCGTGTCCAGTGATAGTGATATTATCCTTCACATCACTGTTTTGCTTTTTAACAGGTAAGTACATACTTTGAAAGGATAATCAAACTTTTGATCTTAACTGTTAATATAATGGTATTGATGAAATATGTAGTAGCGATATATATTTCGCTTTTATTGTATTACATAGTATTCTTACAATTCTTCATCTTTCAACCTTAAGAAAAATGTAAAACATCTTTTATCTAGAATAACATAAATAAGAAGTACCTTGAGTAAAAGAGGAAACCAAACTGAGGTTTAAAATTATATCTGTTGCTAATTGATAATATTGGTAGTCTCCTGCATGGATAGTTAATGTCTGAGTATACTGAAAAGGAGCCAGAAGTATCGAGGAAGAATAAAATCATCTTGAGTTGGTTATTGCTTGTTTGTTGGTTGGTTGGTTGGTTGGTTTGTTTGTTTGTTTGTTTGTTTATTTATTTATTTATTTATGCTTTGAGTGAGAGGAAGGGGGAGAGAGAAGCATCGCTTTGTTGTTCCATTTATGCATACATTGGTTGATTCCTGTATGTGCCCTGACAGGGGATGGCACCCACAACCTTGGCATATGGGGACGTTGCTCTGGTTAACTGAGCTACCCGGCCAGGGTGATAATTCTATTCTTTGAGATATATCCCAATGATGGTACTCCAGTATTTCGGTAATATTGGTTGTTGGGTATTGCAGTGCTTTGCTTTTGATATTTGCCATTGCATTGTTATAGAAAGGAAGTCTTGAAGCATCTGTTTAAATAATTTAAGAAAGTTTCAGGTTTCACATCTTGATACTTGAATAAGATTTGAGCAGGTGATATCTTTATATTCTTTTTTTCTTCCCTTGGCAGTGTTTAATGTTCTCTCGTGTTTAATATATCAGCATGATACATTTACTGTATATATTAATGGTGACAAGTTAAATGACATGGTTGGAAATATGATGGTCTGGTTATTGGGTTTTCTTATTAACTAAATTAGTTGGGGAAATTGCTTGGAACTGAAATTTCTTACCAAATTGTAACTTTATTTTATACAACTCGTATTGTTTCTGTCTTTTCGGTTGATCTTTTTTCTTCTTCTTTTTAAAAATTTTTCCCCAAGGACATGCTTAGAAAGAGAGAGAGAGAAACTTTGATGTGAGAGAGAAACATCAACTGGTTGCCTTTCATATGTGCCCCAACTGCAGCCCAGGTATGTGCCCTGATGGAATCAAACCATCAACCTTTCAGTGCACAGCATGATGCTCAACCACTGAACCACTCCAGCTGGGTGTTTAGTCATTTTTATGTTTTTATAAATTGGTCATTTTACTCACCCCCAAGCATCATTTGTGAACCAAATAGCATGTTAGTGTCACCACTCCGAAAGTTAAGTTTTCTTTGTTCCATTTGGTTCAACAGAATGTATTTCTGAGTGGTGAAGGCTGAATCAGAAGAAATCTTTTGTAGTTTAATAATAGATTAGCTAGACATGTAGAAATTTATAGTGTCCTCAAAATAATGAATTAGGAAGTATTTGTGGAAATAATTTAGGTGAGCAAAAGTGTTTGACTAGGCCAGTGATGGCGAACCTTTTGAGCTCGGTGTGTCAGCATTTTGAAAAACCCTAACTTAACTCTGGTGCCGTGTCACATATAGAAATTTTTTGATATTTGCAA